CTCCGAAAAGTTTGTCTGTTAATGAGGCCACAGGCAGTACATGTAAGTCTCGTTTTTCTTGGGAGGTGCATTAAACAGGTATGCGAAATAACCGCTGAGGATGGCATTATGTGAACAGGCATCTACGAGAGCATAGCCGCTGCAGTGAATTTTCGGGTAAGTATCTCTACCTGTTTGTCGGCTGCCCGCCTCATGGTGATATTTCGATAACCTCAATTATATCTTCCTCTCATTTCAGGAATTCAACGGCCAGCTGAACGCTCCCCATGAAGAAGAGAGTGCGCCTCACAGAATAACATATGTAAACTTCAAAACGACCAATGTATCCCAAAATTTCAAGACGTCCATTTTGAGCCTTTTCTCCGTTACAGATGGATGGATTAGTTAGGCATCGTGTAACCCTAGCCGCATGTTAGTGGTGTGCGTCGGTTAAGATCGTTCAGCTGTCTGGCATTATCGACGTAGGCTCTATGTGGCTAGTTAGTTAGACATCGCGTACCCCTAGCCGCATGTTAGTGGTGTGCGTCGGTTAAGATCGTTCAGCTGTCTGGCATTATCGACGTAGGCTCTATGTGGCTAGTTAGTTAGGTATCGTGTACCCCTAGCCGCATGTGAGTGGTGTGCGTCGGTCAAGATCGATGAACCCGGAGGACTTTCTAACATAATTCGGGACCTATAATGAAACACTCTGTAATTTGCCAGTCAACGTGCACGATGTTTAGCAAATAGTCAGCGTGCACCACTGGCAACAAAGGATCATCGGCCAAAATTTGTTTGCACGAATGGGCCCGCGCATATGTTGCATCTCCAAAGGCCATTTAGATTCTTGAATGTTGAGGAAATCTGTTCAGGTGGAGAAATACCTGAAAGGTACGTTCATTGTATGTGAGTTAACCTTTTCCACAATTCGCGCTTTTTTATCATCCGTTAAGGTAATCAAAGCCGGCGGTGTTTATTCACCTGCGGATTTAGTTCACTTAAACAAATCACCATATTAAAGGATTTTCAATAATACAGGAGCATGTACATTATACATAGACATTTTACTCTATGAAGTGGCAAGTCTGAAAATGCCGTAGATTTGGAGAAATCAATCTCATTGTGCGAATAGCCGGCGGCCCTGAAATGAGGAAAGCTGTTGTCTTATAAAATTGTGCACTCTAAATTTGTGGACCCCACTAAGACGGCGGTGCGTTCGAAACTGGTTTCGCTTTTTCGCTTGTGCGGTGGTATACGTTGTCTGTCAGTTTGATTGATTCATATGTAAGTATTGGCGATGCACAGCCTTGCTTACTGGGCTCTGGCTCATGAGCTTTGCTTCTGTTTTCCATCCACAGAAATTGTCGTGAACACCTGTCTTCGGAGAATCATAGTTCCCTGGTGCTTCCATAGCGTGCATATTACGGTGCAGACTTTTAAGGGTTCTCTCGCCATCCAATATATTTGCGGAGCGAACATGTGTCGTTCTATTGAATTTTTCACTCTAACATACCGTTTTTGTGAAAACATGTGTCAGGTTGCACTACATTCCCGCGGTGCACCCAATCTCAATTCTGAGCCAGATCAATACAAGCTGCTCCCTACAGCTATCGATGAACCGTAACAGATGTGAGCGAAATAAGTGTCCATTGAAGGTATGACGTGAAATTCAATGTCACATTCGAGTCCTGGCGGCTCATTAAATGCAAGGGTTTAGGGACTACCAGATGAACGAGCAATTCAACTCTCCTGACCCGTTTTTCTGCGCCAGTTACCTCTACCTTAAACGTGCTTTACATTCTGTAACTAAAAAGTCAACTTCTGAAAACGAAACCAAGTTCCCACTTCTGGAAATACCAGTGTGTACCTTCCGTTTTAATTGAGATACTCGACACAGAACTGGTGCTTCTATCTAAAGTTCTCGAGGAGACAAACACAAAAATCAAGCGACCTGTAGAAAAGTCGATGGTGAACTTTCGTCCCTAAGCGAGTACCTAGCGCTATCCACCCCGGTTCCGTTGGTTTCAGAGGTTATCTAGCTCTGATTCGGCAATCAAGATAGCTACAAAGTCTTTATCGGACGGGTGCATAGCGAAGAGCAGGCTGATCATATGGGGGTTATTCTCACCAGTGGAGTTGGCACAGTTGCCATGAGCACGGATCGCTTCACGTAGAGTTGCTACGTGGAAGGAGAAGCAAACGAACCGCTGGGCTTCTAGTTATTCCTTTCCCGAAATCTGCCGTGCAGCAGATCTTGGATCGAGCTGTTAGCATTCGAAAGGCCCCCACGATGATCAAGTGTATGTAGACGGATAGCCTTCTGAGGGTGGGAACTGTGAGTCACAGAAGTCCTAGAGGAGGAGCGCGAAACAGGCTTCCGCTTGGCTCCGGTTCAGCCGACCCCAAACTTATGTCCGAGCAGAACAAAGTCGTTCAACAGGGCGCTTGGACTCAGCATGTCGTCGCACCCACCAGATAACGCGCAAGCTTGGTCATCACGAACGAAAGACATTTCGTCGACCAGGTGTTAACGTCCCACTATGTGCTGAGCTTCGATTTCATCTGCTACTGGGCTACTGGGACGAGATGGCTTGGTGGTTAGAGCACGAATTTGCGGACGGAAAGATCCGTAGTTCGAGCTCGACCTCTGACTCGACTTCCCTTTGGGCAACCTGGCAATATCCTAGCCCTTGTGCTTTCTTTTGGCGGTATGGCAGCTGGGAGCTGGGAGAGTTTTACAGCTGAACGATTATTATTACTATTATCTTTATGGGCCAGAAATCCCGAGCGTGGACTCGAAACTTCTTCCGTGTAGACTTCTCAGGAATGCGCATCATTATTAATTGATTTGAACTGGAACCAGCTTCAGGAGTTATACAGAACCATTGTTCAGAGGGTTCACGAGGCTGACCCGATGTTCATCCCAAAAAAACAGCAAGCAGTCAAGTGGACTTTAAGCTCCCTAAAAGGATTCGGCGTTTTCTGGAAAGGAGGCCTCAACTATTCCTTCAAAAGATAACTGTAGGTGACATGAAAGACGAGCTGGCATTTCGTAAATTGCGGAAGCGCTATAAATCAGAAACCCGCCCATGGAACACGAAAACAATCCATGATACTAGAACCCGCCCCGGTAGACCAAAATATGCTATTTAAGTACATGAGACACCGCCGGAGGAATAAACCAACCGCCTTCTCCTTTGAGGGACAGAGGCGGTGAACCCATAAGTGACCCAACAGTGGTATCTGAGTCTGTAGAGTACACCATACAGGCCTGTATTCTGCCCCAGCGACCTCGCCACATTCAGTTTTGTCAAGACGTAACTGTGTGTCGTAAATCGTGAATAGTTCAGCTGTAGCACCCTTCCTCACTGTGCCTGGTTGGAGACATTACAAGATATGGCTGCCAACCGATGTCAGTGGCGTTCTTGTTGTCAGTTTCTGTCCAGATTGCCTGAGTGAATGTCTGGAGGTGTAGGCACCCCGGAATGATTGTGTTAAGCTAGCACTAAGTCCCTCCCCCATCCACCTTTATTCTTTTCTTTACAATAAGGCTTTCAAATAAGTCATGGTTGTGGGGCAGTGAAGCATCGGTGTTGAACACTGATGTCATGCTGTCGATGATGATGATGAGCACCCTTTCGGTGCCTAGCTGCCATGCCACACGAAGGATGCAAGAGGGCTGGGATACTGCCAAGTCGCCCAAGCCTAGACAGGGGAAGTCGAGTGGCAGAGGTCGGGTTCGAACCACGGCCCTTCCGGTGAGTAAATTCGCGCTCTAACCACTTGAGACATCTCGCCCCCAGACGTAACTACGAACGGCCTCTAATCAACTTTGTCTTCATGGAGGAAAACATCCACCAACTCTTGCACAGGACAGGCCCATTCAGCGCTTTGGGGTTAGACGAGGTTCATCCAAGGATCCTGAAGGAAACGTCGTTCACACTGGCAAAGCATTTCTACCTGGTGCTTCGTCAGTCGCTCAACATAGACAACCTTCCTTTGGTTTGGAAGGAAGCTATTGTCGTGCCAGTCTACAAAACCGGTGACCACCTGTCGCCCGGCAGCTACAAGCCTGTGCCGTGCAAGGTTATAGAACGAATTTTAAATTGGGCCATATTAAATCCCATCAACGCCAACGACTTTATCCCTAGTCGAACGCGGATTGTTCTTAAGGCGTCCTTGTATGATGGAGCTCGTATTTATGGGCAATTTAACCCAAGCTAAGGAGGAAGGCGTCCTATCGGATGCCATATTTTCCGACTCTTCAAAAGCATTCGGTTGAGTCACATGCGTCCTACTATTGCCAAACTCGAGTCTTACTGGATTACAGGGGGAATACTACGTTGGATTAAAACATTCTTATTAGGCAGAACATTCAGAGTGAAAGTAAGTTCGACCTACTCTTCTTCGGCGCCGGTCTCCATTGTGGTTCCTCAAGACTCTGTTTTGGACCACTTCTGTTTCTGATCTACGTCACCGATCTTCCGGGCGTTCTTTTAAGTCCACGCCTACTTTTTGCGGACGATCTGAAATCCTGGAGCTCAAATGCCAGTGCCCTCTAAATGGATGTAGATGCTGCAAAGCAGTGGCCGTTGGACTGGCGCCTTCTCCTGAATGACGAAAAGTGCGTCCGTACGTCATTCGGGGGAGACTCGGTGAATACCTTTGTCGTGCATGGTGAGAAAGGATCAAAAGGCATTACGAGGATAGATACCAAAATGATTTCCGTATCTGGCTCTCTTCAACCATGTCCTTCTCACTGCACCATGAGAAATCGGCCCAAAAGGCATTCGCCGTTCTACGGGTGATTCGGCGCGCCTTCTTCCGTATTACTCGCGAGGACTTCGAAATACTCTATGGATCCACGTCAGACTGCTTCTTCAGTTTGACCGCTAAGGTTCCTTTGTGAAGCCCAGTCAGGTAGCTTGTGCATTTGATGGCACCACCAAAGGGTGCTTTTATTAGTGGCACTTTCCAGAGGCTTGATTTTTGCAGAGAACTGCACCTTGAATCTAGCCAATAGCTTTTTGAGAAGTTCAGGCTTACATGGCTTATTAGACCGCGGTCGCTTTCTTTTGTTTTGAGTGGTCTCTTAGGTCGTCCGCGATCAGCGTGACCAGCTCGGTATATGTGGGAATTTTCAGTACACTGCTGTTGGGTTTGTGGCTTTGGCTATCACAGTGTTGAGTGATGACTATCCACAATTGGAGAGGCTGCTTTTGACGGAGTGGAGATGAAGGCCGGCCCTTTAGCACTTTCCTTGGTTATGGGGTTCTCGCAGCGATCCCCGAAGTCAAGGTCAGTAGATTTCGCCGCTTGTCTCTGCACAACTGACCCAACCCAGGTTATAACGCTGCAGTCTTGTCGTCCGGTAAGGAAAAAGCGATGGTAATTCCCCCTGCGTTGGGCGCTCCATCCACGCGAGGCTTTTCCCATGTGTATCACTTTCGTTGCTAGTTGATAGGTCTGCGGCGGTTGAGAAGAAACTGCGACCCGGAGTCGCGGCCCGTTGCGTCGGCGTGTTTTTAAGAGTACAAGGGTCTACAACTACCATGAGGTTGGTCATAAGTTTGGGATAGGCTGAACTGTCACCCAGCGGAAGCTTGTTTCGCGCCTCCCCTGTTGTGGCCTAGTTTTCGCACCTCTAGAGGGCGATCCTCTGTATGGCGGTTAGCGAGGAAACGGTGACTAGAAGCCCAAATGTTCGCTTACTTCCTTTTCCGCGTAGCCACTCTATGTGAAGGGATTCATTTTCAGGCTTTGTGGCGGACCCACCAAGGAGTGGCTGTCACTTTTCCTGGCGTGCTTGTGGATAATGACCCCAGGTGATCAGCTGCTCACCCTCATGCGCCTGTCTACCAAAGATGTCGTGGCGATCTCGATTGTCGAATCAGAGGGCTGGATAACCTCTGCAGCCAATGAAACTGGGGTGGACAGCCTTAGGTACTCGCTTAGAGACGAAAGTTTGTTATCGGCTTTCATCCAGGCCGCTTTATTCTTTGTGTTTGTGTCTTCCAGAGCGTTGGAATAAAGTATGTTCTCGAGCATCCCGACTAAGGCGGAACGTTCGTACGGGTCCTTCTCAGTCAGGAGTGAAGACTTCGTCTCCTTTTTGACAGCTGTCTTGTTTGTTGTGGAACGCTTCCCACCTCTAAGGTAGAGCCAGTTGGCGCAGACAAATGGATCAGGAGAGTTAGATTATTGGATTATGTGGTCGTCCCGCGGGTCCGTACATTTAAGATGTCACCAGGCTTTGGAGGCGTGACATTGCACTCCACTTCCAA